CTCCTGCATATATGTCAAATCAGGGAGTCCGACAGTAAATCAGGGAATATTTGACTCTGGACTCCCATTAATTTCGCACCCTGAAATAGTAATAGTATAACGCTTAATACTAATGGTTTGATTAATTCAGTTCTAGGCAGTATAATAGTATGTGAGTCACTGAGTGAAATATTTGCATCGGTATATTTCATAATCTGGCAGCAATTTGTCAAGTCAAGAGTTAAGACTCGATCAAGCTCAAGCCCACTGCACTGGCACAGCCCCCAACTCGACAACCACAGCACTGGCAATAATATTGCCAATATGAATATACATATATACAACGTGTACTACAATACTGTACACTTTACATAATACACTTGTTAAGCTTATTAAACAAGACAAGAGGGCGTGTATGGAAAGTGTTGTTGATTGTAATAGGGCATGAATCCGGAATTATGATATTAGCGTCAGCAATTAAACTAGAAATTACTTGAATTGGGTAAAATGAGTTACAACTTATGAATACAATCATTACACAGGCAAATTACTCTGTTTTTATTTGGCATACACTTTTTTATAATTGATGTTCATTTGTCATTTTATGCTGACAGGTGATACTGACAATGGCAGATAGGCCACTCACAAGCGATCGTGGACCGAAGTTTACAGAGTTGAATGATTTGGTTTCACAAAAGGTAGCGTTTGAAAAAATTAACTAATGATATTGACTAATTGACAGTATGTTAATTATTGATTACTGCATAGTGACCTAATCGTGGTAAGTTTTATAGAAATAATGCTTCACTCATTGGGGGTTTATCAATTTTAGGCAGGAGGGAAAATCCTGTTTGCTACAGATGATTGGTTTGCTGTTGCTGAAAATCTCCTGAAGGTAGGTGTACTATTCAATTCATAATTGACCTCATATTATATTTTAAGAAAGCTATTGAGACAAATGGTGAATATGGCGTGTACATGTACAACATGAATCTATCTCTAACCTAATTGCGTGGCTCTTAAATTTAAAGTTAGTGTGTGTGTGTGTGCGTGCGCGGACGTGCGTTTGTGCGTGCGTGTATATATAAAATATGAATATTATAATAGAATTTATATATTTTTGAAATCTGTATACTGCGCATCTTATTATATCATTATGTGCTGAGAAAATAACTGTCAGCCGCGTAACATCTGCACCTGTCTCATCAGAGTCGCCCGTCATCATCGCACGAGGTGCTTATATCCTCAGGTGGAGCCAGCCGCGTTCGACAAAGACGCCTTCACGAGCTACGGCAAGCTGATGGACGGCTGGGAGACGCGGCGGAAGCGCAAGGAAGGCCACGACTGGTGCGTCGTGCGGCTGGCGATGCCCGGGGTGATTCACGGCGTCGAGGTGGACACGTCGTTCTTCACGGGAAACCACGCTCCCCGCGTCTCGCTGCAGGCCGCGCGACTCACGTCGCAGGACGGTGAGAGTTTATTCGTTCTTTGTTCGTTCTTCGTTTGTTCTTTGTTCGTTCTTCGTTTGACATGGGGGGAAAACGCGCGTCTCACATCGCGGGTGAGCGTTCGTTTGTTCTTAATTCTTTCTTCGTTCCACAAGGGGGGGCGCCTCATGTCGCGGGATGATGAGCATTTGTTTGTTCTTAATTCTTTCTTCGTACGACACGGGGGCAGGGAGGAGGTGCGATTCATGTCGCGGGACGGTGAGCGTTTGTTCGTCCTTCACGCAATCTTCGTACGACACTGGGAGGCAGACGCGCGCCTCATGTCACAGGGGCAGTGAGAGTTCGTTTGTTCTTCGTTCGACACCTTTTAAGTGTCCTCTGTGTTTCTTTTCCCACGGTACTGCACATTACAGCAGTCCCGAAAATTGCGTGATCGTTTTACGTAGGTTTCGTTTCACGCGGTCCGATTTCGTTTTGCTCTAACGTGATACTATAATTGTTGCCTGATACCGACAGAGGCCATTATACCTCGGAGGGTCAGCAAGATGGGAAGCGAGGCATCGGCTGCAAACATGAAGAAAGTGGCGGCGTTGAAGTCGGAGGTGAGTGGTTATTGTCAATGAGTTGGTCCCTCATGCAGGCATGTGACTCTGTATCACGTTCTAATCACAGCCCACAAAACCAGCCAACTGACTGATGTTTCGTATGACAGTGCGCGATTCGCATTCCAGCTGATAAAGCGATTCGGGGATGGAGGGAGGCACACGTTTAGGATTTTCGCCTAACGTTTCGTCTGTCGTCCTCACCCCCTGCATTTTCCACGACTTGTGTTGACGCGTGTGTAACGGAATCAACTCGCGACCTTGCCAGCATGCCTCAGACTGACCACACGTCAGTGCTTTAATACTATTGGTCAATAATAATCACGTGAGTGTATGACGCGATAACGAATACCTTACAATACGTTTACGAGATTATTCTGTGACGAGCGTGGGCGCAGTGTATGTCGCTATGCTGTATACCCGCCGTGGAATTCGTTGTCTTGCGTAGAACTCATTGTCTTGCATAGAACTCATTGTCTGCTGCTGTGCATCTGCTTGCAGGAGTGGCAGACGATTCTACCGATGACCGCCACGGGACCGGGATACAGCAACACGTGTCGCAACTACTACCGAGTGCAGAGTAGAGACAGATGGACCCATCTGAGGTTCAACATTTATCCAGGCGAGTTAATATTGACGTAACTTCCGACCCATCTTAGATTCTGCGATTATCTAGGCAAGTTACTATCGACGTAAGTTATGACTTGGTTGAGATTCAAGATTTATCCAGGCGAGTTGATATCCACTTATCTTATGCTCCATTTTAGATTCTGCAATTATCTAGGCAAGTTACTATCGACGTAAGTTATGACTTGGTTGAGATTCAACATATATCCAGGCGAGTTAAAATCATCGACTAATCTTATGACCCGTCTTAGATTCAGCAATTATCTTGGCAAGTTACTATCGGTGTAACTTTGATATCGTCTTAGGTTCAGTATTTATTCAAGTGAGTTTGGATGGACGTATCGTGCGTTGCTTGATCGGTTGTTTCACAGAGAAGGGAAGCTGTAGCAGGTCGATGTGACGTCAGGAATTGTGCGAACCTGCTTTGTCTCGTTTTTCAGATGGAGGTGTGGCGAGGCTTCGTGTGTACGGCCAAGTGATTCCTGATTGGTCAAAACTTCCAGCGAACATGGTGGGTCGTCGTAGCGTAGTTACTGTGGTCATTTTAGTTTTACAAGTTATTTCAAAACTGGTACTGCCCATGTATTCTGAATTGTTTTTGTTTGTTGACTTTATATATTTAACCAATAAAACTGGTCCTGTACTGATATTGTTAGATAGTTGTGTTCTTTCTTTGTAGCGGCAATACAAAACGAAAAAAACACGTTTTAACAGTTTATTTTTTTGATTTTTTGCAAAAAAACACTGTTTTACTCCAACCCTGGAAAAAACATGTGTCTATATACTCTGTATGTTATTACATGTGCTTTCATCTCTTCGTAGCTGATGGACCTGGTTGCGATGGAGAGTGGAGGCGTGTGCGTGGGCTACAGCAATGTTCATTACGGACACGCTCGCAATCTCATCGGCAAGGGTCGCTCGTCTGTCATGTCCGATGGTTGGGAGACCGCGCGCAAGGTGAGCGGGATTACTGCAGCAGTGACGGTTTACCACCCCGTGTCGACACTCGTGTCACCACCAAGAGTATTTGTTATACCACTACCATCATCATCACGACTAACCCACTTGTTCCTCTTCCTGTGTTGACAGCCATTAGTACCTGTACCAGGGGGGGGAAAAAAAGTGTGTGGGAAAAATAGCTCTCGTCGAAAATTTTACGGGAGCTATTTTGAGCCTTACGGGAGCGATTTCGGAGGTTTGAAGAGCGAATCGCTCGTCGCTCCCGTGTATTTTTTACCCTGACCTGTACCACCATCATTGTAGTCACTGCCAGCATCTTCATCATCACTAACTCAGATGTTCCTCTCCCACACCTCACCCCAGCACTGGCAATACCGGACCACCACCACAGCCAATTTGACCACCACCATCACGACCATGACATCTACGAACGCATCTAATCCCTTGTTTAAAATCTCTTTCGTTGCAATTTCTGTTCGCAATTAAGCATATACGTGTATTATCACATATGTGTATTACAGCGTTAAAAAGCGCACTTTACGCAGAATGTTTAAGCATGTAACGAAATGATTGTGTACGGCTGTGCGATTTTTCGTAGATCGACAGACCCGCCATCTTGGAGTCCGACCTTCGGGGAGTCCTGAAGGTCCCGGGCAACGAGTGGGCCACGTTTAGGCTGGGTCACCCTGGAACTATCCTCAAGGCAAGTTACATCGACGTTGAGACGCGTGGCTGTTCATACGGTCAGGGACCATCTCTTTGTTGAACTAGCCATCTGAGAAAGATAACCACACCCTTCCTTGAATATTGCTGCTAGGTCCGTCAGGCTTGTTGAGTTTATACGTGTTTATATTTGACATGCATGCCAGTTTGTCCATTTTTTATCACTGTTGCTAAGCAGTATATTTAGAATGCTCCTTGGACAATTCTGATTGGCTAGAGTTACCTGTCGATGACTCCAGATGGATGTGTCGATACCGTGGCACAACAGCATTATGAGAGCGTTATGCGCCTGGGATTTTTTTAATTAATTAACTAATTAATCATATAATCTAATGCGAGAATTTTTTATGATCCACTTCTACTAACGTGGATTTCGCTCACGTTCTCCAGGTTGTGATTGACACAAACCTCTTTAAAGGAAACTTCCCCGACTCATGCAAGGTTGAAGGTTAGTGCGCGACCTTGGTGGCAGTTCTACTTCCCATCGGGAGGTGGAATGTTGAGGTTTGATTACGTTATAGACTAATGAGTATCCCCATTTGCATAATCCTTGCTTAGGCATGGTGAGGAGCTTGCATACTAACGTTCTCACCTTTATCAATGTACCATCGTTAAATAATTAATTAAATAATAAATAGAATATGGGGTTGAAGAGGCATTCACCATATTATTTATGATTATTATTATTCTTTATTATTATCATTCTTTATACGATACTGCATTCAGCCCATTGGGTTTTCCCTCTGTGTTTCTAGCTTGCAATATAGGCATGGATGAAGAATCGGAAGCTATGGAAAAGTTTGGGCCACCTCAATGGAAACTACTGCTCCCAACTGTGAAGGTTAGCATAATAGCTTTTCATTAGCTTTTGACAAAAATGAAGAATGAAAAATAGGAAGGATTATGATGAGCATGGTTGGATATATAAGATCATTAATCTTGTTCGCTGCCTTATCTTAATATCTGCAATAATAAATATGAATCATAGTAATAATTCACAAATAAATTGTACACGTACTTCCAATTTACCGCCATACTTGCATTTCTAGAAATTGTGCTCAGAAGTAAAATGATGTTAAATGGATCAATTTTCCTCCATAGGTTAAACTGCATTAAGATGGTTGGCTTCTGACTAGGTTTTTGTTCACCTAAATACAAGGCACTAAAATAGAATTGAACATCATGTAAACACAAAACAAACGCAAATTATTGTTGTTGTCACATTGTTTGTTGTTGTTGTTGGCGTTAAGTGCGGTCGTGGATGTATTTTCGATGACGCGTCGGTGATCAAAATCGATGTTCTCTTGTTTTACTCGGCCGCCGGCAGCTATCGGCCGACAGGCTCCACCACTTCGATGCTCCCGACGTGAAGATGTGTGGCGTGGTGTCGCACGTCCGCCTCACGATGGCACCAGATGGCGGCATAAGCAGGATGCGTCTGTTCGGTCTCCGTCGCAACAAGGCCAACCTCTGATTTGAAGCGGAAAAAAATGGCGTCCGGCCGGCCCCCCGCTGGTGAATTTATGCAGCTAACTGTGTACGCAATCGTGCTTAAAATTGCGCGTGTGACTTACTGACACGAACATCTAATGGTTGTTCTAATTCTAACGATTGTGTTGGGGGTGTTTTACGAACATTCACTTTACAGAATTATGTTAATTGCTGATGTAACCATTTGACGTGTATCAGAGTCAAGTTATTAATGAGAGTGAGGTATGTATGAGAGTGGCACTGCAATCTTTATGAGGAGTGAATTAATTAATGCAGATGTTGATTGATAGAAATAATATTTTTATAATTAATGGCTAAAACGAACTGTGATATGTACCAACACTATTATGAAATTGTTAATCATATTCTGTTTATTTTTTAATAATACGTACATAGTGTATGTGTGGGCGTTCGTGCGTGCGTGCGTGTGTGCGTGCGTGTGTGTGCGTGCGTCCGTTCGTGCGTGCGTGCGTGTGTGCGTGTGGGTGGGCATTTGAGGTGTGCTGGTTTTAGAAATGCTCCTAGTTAGAGCAATGAATCTAAGGAGTAGGGCATCTATTACAACGTGCATTTAAGGTTTAAGTGCATGCAAGATACTGAAATAAATATGTATGTAAATGACTAAACAACTGTTGTTAGTATATACAATATAAGGGGTGAAACTACCATCTTGTTCATCTTCAAATATTCGAATACTTGTTCTTTCTGCTGGCGTACAAAAAATAGTTAAGGAAATTAATATTATTATAATATTATATATATTATATATATCAATTTCTCACGTGGCTCGGCCCACTTGTTTTACGGCTACCAGTCTCTCTATCCTGCGTGGTGTGCGCCTTTACTGTTTCTATCCACGAAGGTGTGCAGGCCACAGCAACTGACTATAGCATCTAATTAACAACCTAGATCTTTTTACATCCCAATGCATAGTTACAGATCACGACTTAGCGTCTACCCCTCTGGTGTCTCTGCCTTACACACACACATACACACACATACACAACGCAACGCACTCCACAACATTACATCACGCTACACTACACATACCACACGCCGCACACACACTTATATTCACACACATACACACTATATCGCACGCACACATCCATGACACCACGTGACTACACCGCCACGATCACCCAATACACAATTCGCACGCACACCACACCAACTACACACGCAACCCTGCGACACACAGCTCACGACTACATCACCACATACACACGCACGCACACCACACACCTTAGTGACCGGAGGCCAGAAATTTCTAACGCGCGGTGCTGGCAAGATTTCGCCCTCACCATATTGTTGCACAAGCTTCTGCACCGCTCCTCAACTTTTTTTCTAACTTTCCTCTAGAGTTGTAAGATTGCTGTTTTAGCTGAAAAATCTAATGGGCATTGCCAAAGCGCATTCTCACCATGTTAATTGCTGCCCGGCGTGTGTCCTGTGCCGATCGTGTCGTGTGGTTTTATTTCTGCCCCTCGAGTGGCGGAATCATGTTCTGGGCGCTATGCCCCGCAATCGCTAACCTGGTTGAGACCTGAATAGCTGTGACAATCGCGTCCATCCATGGGCCGTAGTGGCCGCCATATGGCCAGCACGGACTCGGCCGGGCACTATTTCGTGAATTGTTTTTTTTGCAGGAAACCCAAGGAGATCGAAACCCCGGTGCCGCGCCACTCACCCCAACATTTATGGTTATGGTCTATTCGTAGCCACTGCAATGGATCAAATCAATTCGCTGGCCGGGCCTCTGGCAACTACTACTCATACTGAATAAATGACCTCCGGGGGCGTTCTTTGGAACTAATGTTTGCTTGAATGTTGCGTATTGCTCATGCGAACATTGTGCCTCACAGCTGCTTCGAAATATCGCGGGGGTCTCCGGAATCTAGGATTATCGTTGAATTTCAATGCTATGACACTAGGACCACGTTTAAAGGACGGGGGTCTCCGGAACTCGTGGCTCCACGCTGCGTCCTGCTCCTCGACCCGCTTCACGTCCCCTCCGGAAACAGTCGATTTTTTTACCCTCTTAACTAAACTACCTCATTGTGACTGTCAGCCACCTTGAACCAATAATAATCTAATTGTTGTATTATGTCAGAATGAGGCAAAAAACATGACCTCGGAGAAGAGACCCCTGCGAACGCACGCCACCACGCACGCACGGCACTACACACACACACCACACACCACATCACACACACACACACACACACACAACACACACGTTGCATGCATGCCTTGACGGCCCGGCTTCAACGTATTCTGAAGTACGATGCACTGGAACGGAAATATTAAAAACTAGGGTCTCCGGAATGACAAAATTGTAAGATCTGCATGGTAACTAAACTTAATGCTCTGGAACGAGATATTATTAAAAATGCGATGCACTGGAACGGAAGTTTAGGGTTAGGGTTGAAAATGGGGGTCTCTCCCGCGGCACATACCTACCATGCAATATATATGGAGTTCCCCCCTCCGACCCAGCACGACCCAGTTAAGGCTCAACAATGCAATGGTCATGCATGTGCACCGAGACATGTTAGACAAGGTAGATGAACAGGATGTAATTTCAGAATTTGTAAGTTGCCATCCAAGCAGAAAAAATAAAATTGGAATAATAAAAAAATAAAATGACAAGTTATCTGACTGGACCGCCTGGTATTACTATTAATACTGATCAATTAGAGGTGTTATATCAGTGCTCTAAGATTTTGAATGTGTATTTAATATGACAATGTGCCTATTGAAATTCAAACTTCAAAACATACAGATGTACATAGTGAAAGTATAAATGCAGATTGAAAATAGGCGTATTTTTCATAATTATGTACTGATAGTATATAAAATTTTGTAAATAATCTTTTATTAGTTATCATACTCATAATATATATTTTAGATACTTTAGTCAAAACATCAGCTTTAGCTACATTCCTCTTTGAAATTTACAAATTGACCTTTTAAAATGATCAGAATTGGTTGCTTTCAACATAGCCTGAAGATGCAGAAAATGCCATTTCCAGGCTCTACATTTAAAAAAATGTTGGGGGAGTACCCCCAGCTCCCCCCGCATCAGCTACATATTTCTGTAGTGGCACTTTTTGGAAGGCCACTACGGCCCTGTCCTTCGAGTGCACGGTGCTCTAGCGCTTGTCAGCCCATCTAGCCTTGTGCCGAAAAAACACACCTCTTATCATTTACCACGAAAATGAATTTAGTTGTCATTTTAAACAAAGCACGTACGGGAGAGCAGGTAGTACGAGACGCCTACCGCACTTTGAGACTAGCTCGAACAATGCAGACGAGAATTTGCAGCGGCTGGCCGTCACGATGAGCCGGCGGAATCGTCTTGTCGTTCGGCTTGCCACTGATCGAATCGCTGTTATACTCGGCTTGGTTTGCAATCAAACGCTAACACGCACACACGCACGCACACACGCACACACACACACACACGCACACACGCACACACACGGCGCTGCTAGCGCCACACACATGCACACATCACGCGCGCGCCGGCACGCCGCACATTACAACACAACGGCCGCTGCCCGCCACCAAAACACACATACACACACGGATCAATACAACACACACAACACACACACACACACACACACACACAAAACAACACACGACAACACACACACAACACACACACACACACACACACAGACGAGCAGAGAGCAGATGAGAACTGAGAGAGAGAGAAAACTGACGTAGATGAGAGACGAGAGAGATGAGAGAAAAAAAGAGAAGAAGAGAGGACAAAAGAGAGTAAGAGACGCTAATTAACAACCAAATATAGTAGCACGCAGCACCTGAGTGATCACACTCAATCCCGTCTTGCGAACTCGAATTACAACACCGCGTGCTTCGCCATCAATATGTTCATTCAGGCAATCAAATTTACTGAGAACAAGCTCAAAGACTCCCGGAGCGCACGTCGCATGCGAGACTGTCACCGTCACGCATATGTCCTACCGCCTCGGTCGCGCCAGGGACGAAATGTCCACGTCCGCGACCGCCAGAGATTCACCGTCGGCGCGAAGATGTCGTTGCGGGCGCAGTGCTCACCCGGTCGCGCGCAAGCACTGTCCGTGGCCGCCAGATGCTCGCACGTCGCCCCCGCGACCGAGTCGTCAGGCGGCGGCAGCATGTCTTCGCGGCGGAAAGATGTACACCTGTCGGCTGAGACGACTGTCGTCGGCCGCCCAGACTGGCTTCCGAGTCGTCGGGCGAGGACTGTCGCACGTCGTCCCGTACGGAATCGACAGCATCGAACAGCAGAGGAGGCTAACATTTGACGCGCGCGCTGGCGGCCCGTGCCGGCCGCGCTCCGCCTCCTCGTCCGGAGCCGTCTCAGCGACAGAGATCGATTCATCCTGCTACATCGTGTCGTCGTCCTCCGCTCTCTCTCACGCTATACATGCTCGAACGACTATACGTCTCACAGCAACACCGAATCACGAACGCATCGGCATAGGAAACGCCATCACAGGAAGCCTGCACCTTCATTGCATGGCCAGTGGCGTCCGTACCATACTCCTGCCAATGGGTTGGGTGTACTTATGAATGGGTGGGGTGTACTTATTGCCCTGGTGGGTGTAACTTAATTGTAATGGTCTGTGCGGTGTACTTCATGATGGGTGTGTACTTATTGATGGGTTGGGTGTACTTATTGAATGCGGTGCTGCGGTTTTACTTATTGAATGGGTGGGTCTTACTATATGAATGGCTGTGGGCTGTACGTATTGCCTGGACGTGAGTTTACTTATTGATGCAGCGTGGGGTGTACTTATTAGCATGGAGTGGGTGTACTTATTGATGGGTGGGTGTACTTATTGATGGGTGGGTGTACTTATTGATGGGTGGGTGTACTTATTGATGGGTGGGTGTACTTATGCATGCGGTGGGTTTACTTATTGATGGGTGGGTGTACGTATGCTGGGATGGGCTTTACTTTATTGATGGCCGTGGGGGTGTACCGTATTGCCTGGTCACGTTGGGTGTACTTATTAATGGATGGGTGTACATATGTCATGCGGTTGGGGGTACTTACTTGATATGGGTGGTGTACTTATTGCATTGGGTGGGGCTGCACTTATGCTGGTGTGGGTGTACTTATTTGACTGGAGGTGGCGCTGCATAGCAAATACATTAGGGGTGGGGGGGCCTACGTATAGGCCTACGTAAGATGCTATGTTATTTCTCATGGAGTGGGTGTACGCGCGCTACTACTGCCTATACGCCGCCGCTCGGTTCGATCGCGTTTACGTTTCATATTAGTTCGTTAGGGTTTGTGCTGTTTGGAAACCTGAAAATTTTATTTTATTGCAAGTAGAAGTGATATCTCCTATGTCGATATTATATAGTATATATGGTTGTGATATGGGCCATGAAATTCTGAGATTCTTTCTGCACTCGCCCCAGAGGGCCTGGTAAATAGCAGTTTCTTACCAGCACCTCCCCATAATTTACAGCCCTCACAATTTTTGCTTTGCCTGTTGCAAACCAGATCCGTGAATGGATGGTCCGTACAGCTGTTTGCTCAATCGTCCATGTTTCACGCTTGCATTCTCGAATTTCAAATTTGTAAAATTTGTTGATAAATTATGGACCGTGTATCCATTAAGTATGTTATATAACAGAATGTAGCGCTGTTTGCTCCATTACATGCTATCAAATACAAAATGTAGCCCTACTCGCTAACACTGCGCTGAAACACCTGGCCTTCGCGAAGGCCGCCAAAAAAGAGGTTACATGTTTTGCCAAATATTTACTGCCGTCACAAATAAATTTAGCCGGCATATGCAGGTTGGGCCGAATGCTAATCCTTCAGCGCCCTGTATATTATATTATGAGGGTACGGATTTCTGCCGCGCGCCCATGTGTATGCTATATATAATATATAATGCGGCGTGGTGTCTCTCTCTGTCTCTCTTGTATGTGTGACGAGAGTGTGTGTGTGGCTCGCTGTGCCTAGTGTGCGTGCTGTGCGAATGCGTGCGGTGCGCTGCGTGCTGTCTGCGTGCGTGCGTGGTGTGGTGTGCTTGATGTGTGTGTGTTGTAGTGTGTACTGCGGTGGCGTAGGGTGCGTCGCGTGCGCGCCGTGTGTTGAATGTGTGTGTGTGTTGTGACTGTGATGTGTGTGAACAATGTGTGTGCCTGTGTGAAACCCCGATACCTCGTGCGTCGCCGTGCGGGCTGTGTGGCGTCGTGGTGTGTGTGTGTGTGTGTGTGTGTGTGTGTGTGTATCTGTGTGTGTTTGTGTATGTGTGTATCTTCTGCATTATCTGCGGATGCCTTCCCATCGATTTTAATCGCGTTTAGCTGCATTTTTTGGGAGTTCGTCATATATATATATTTACATCAATCATATTTTATTACGTGCGCGTGTGACTCCTCCAATGAGGTTGCTTCCGCGATATGTACCAGGTTTGACCAGAGCCATGCACGTTGACAGTCTGGTTTGACTGTTGTCTTAGTCCGAGCTCTGTGGTAGAGACTCTCATATTGAGTACCAGCAGAGTACGTATAGTACGTATATCATATGATATACGTACTCTGGCACCAGGAAAACCTATGGTGTAACCTCAGCGCTCTCTTTGTTTTAGGTTCATTTAGCGTGCGCCTAGCGGAAGAATACGGCACTAGGAGAATTGTCGCTCTCGGGGCAATTCTGGCGACACTGGGCATGGCTTTCAGTTATCGGGCCCTCGAGCTACATCTGTTGTTCGCCACCTATTCACTGCTTACGGGTAAGACGTGGTATATATATGTGCATATGTGCGCGCGCGCATGTGTATGTATATATATATATATATATATGTGTGGTGGGGGGGTCTCTCTCTCTCTCTATATATATATATATATATATGTATGTGTGTGTGTGTGTGTGTGTGTGTGTGTGTGTGTGTGTGTGTGTGTGTGTGTGTGTGTGTGTCGCGCGCTCTGTGTGTGTGGTGTGTTGTGTTGTGTGTGTCTCTTTGGTTCTTTCTTCGTTTCCTCTTCGGTTCCTCTTCGGTTCCTCTTTGGTTCCCTCTTCGTTTCCTCTTCGTTTCCTCTTCGGTTCCTCTTTGGTTTCCTCTTCGTTTCCTCTTCGGTTCCTGTTCGGTTCCTCTTCGGTTTCCTCTTCGGTTTCCTCTTCGTTTACCCAACATTTACACGCAGGGGATTTCTAATTCGCCCGCCGACGTTGCAGGTCTCGGAATGGGGATGGTAATGACACCTAGCGTTGTCCTCGTCGGCCAATATTTCGACGAGCGGCGCCCCCTGGCGACCATCATAGCATCTCTGGGCGTGCCTATCGGCGGAATCTGCGCTCCGATTCTAACGGTGCAACTAATCGAGACGTATACCTGGCAGGGGGCGCTGTTGATCATGGGCGGCATATCGCTGAATATGGTCGTCGCCGCAATGCTGTTCCGCCCTCTACCGGCGCAGAAACAAACGACGACCGCAGGCGCCAGAAGGACGACCGGAGGCGCCAAAAAGAAGACCGCCGCGCTGACGAAACACCAACGCGGCACGCTGGCACTGCACGTGGCCGCCATCTTATGCTTAGCGGGAGCCAATAGCAGTGTGTTCATGATGAACGTGAAATACGGCGTCGAGCTGGGAATTCCGATAGACTCCGTGTCAAAGTTGCTCGCCATCACGCACATCACTAGCACTCTGACTCGTTTAGCAGTCGCCCTGCTCTCGACGAAACCCTGGTTCGATCGCTGCATCGCCTACGCGGCCGCCGTCTTTGCAAATGGCGTCGTCTGTCTCGTGTACTACTTCGCTACGGCGCATGCGCTGTTCCCGGTCGTGCTGTTCGCGTTTGGACTCGGACACGGCGTGTCTCAGTCGCTGATGTCGGCAATCAACGTGGATCTGTACGGAATGAGGAATCTTCTACTCACCGAGGGGGTCATCAACTGCAGTAACGGACTCTCCACAGTCGTCGTCCCCACGATCACCGGTACGTGGGGACTAATGCACGCGCATGAAACACTCGCTCTCTCTCGCTCTCTCTCTATCTCTCTCTCTCTCTCTCTCTCTCTCTCTAATTATTTATTTATCTATTATTATGTATGTATGTATTATCTTCTGTATGTACAGTATATGTAAGTACGTACTGGTACCGTATGTTATGTAATTATGTATGTATGTATAGCTGGTGTGTGCTGTGTGCGTGTGTGCGCCGTAGCGTGCGTGCGTGCGTGCGTGCGTGCGCGATGTGTCGAGCGTGCGGCGTGCGTGCGTGCGTAGCGTGCGTGCGTGCCGTGCGCCGTGACGTGGCGCCCCGCGTGCGCGCGTACCGTGCGCTGTAGTCGGTGTTGTGTAACACTTCTCATCTCACTTTCGCCTCACCTCTCTCTCTAGAGTCTCTCTCCTCTCTATCTATGTGCGTCTCCTCCTCCCTCCCTCCCTCCCTCCTCCCTCGCTCCCCTCCTCCCTCCCTCCCTCGTCCCTCCCTCACTCGTCTCCCGTCCCTCTCTCTATGTAGTCGCTATGTGTGTGTCGATAGTCGACTGGTGTTGGGTGTGATGTGTGGGGTGTGTGTGTGGTGTGTGTTGTGTCGGTGTGTGTGAGAGAGAAGTGTGGTGTGGTGTGCTGTGTGTGTAACCCTCTCTCCCTTTCCCCTCACCTCTCTCTCTCTGAGTCTCTCTCTCTCTCTATGTGTGCGTCTCCTTCCCCCCTCACCTCTCTGAGTCTCTCTCTCTCTCTCTCTCTCTCTCTCTCTCTTTCTCTATGTGTGTGTGTCTCCCTCCCTCCCTCCCTCCTCACCTCTCTCTCTCTCTATGCTTTCTTGCCCCTCCACGTCCCAAATAGCTACGGCCCTTAGGGAATCGCTAAGCATTTATCCATATATATATATATATATGGCTACATAAATGTAATATTTAACTATGCGTAGTATGTAATATTTCTAATATGCGTAATATCAGGCGCTTATAAATGGCCATTTATAAGCTCCTGGTAATATACATGTCTTTCTCTGTATGCACAGGCATCTTGGCGGATTATTTTGGAGACACCAGAACGCCGTTTCTCTTCAATGCGGCCATCACGTTTAGCGGAGCTTCTCTGTTTGTCTGCGTGCTGCTCCGGCACCGTTGCCAGACGAACAAGAGACGGCGCCGCGTGGCGGAGAAGAAGCTACCGTCTACTTGTAGCAGATGATGGCGAGGGTAGCGCGCGAGAACGCGCACGCACACACTATAGACTGAATAGTTTCCAAGCGTCATCCTTCGAGTGCAGGGTGCTCTAGCGCTTGTCAGCCAATCTAGCCTTGTGCCGAAAAAAAACACACCTCTTATCATTTACCACGAAAAT